CATGTGCTGCTTAGCTGATCAACCGTCAAGATGCTGAGTTTCGGAGGCTGCGACGGCCGTAAACGTTCCGTCTGAGCTAGGACTCGCGACGTCAAGTGACTGAACAAACGCCAGCTGGTGAAGGTCATGCTCATATTCGGGCCACGACCCACTGCAAGGTCTGGCACTCGCGGCTCAGATGGTCAGCATCTCAACTGTCGATTTTAATCTCGACTCCCCCAACCCCATGCTAAGAGCGCAAGGGCTGGGAACTGAGAACTGAGGTCGTGCTTAGCAAGCCCCGAAGATCCTCAAACATCCTCAAACCTACGCGCTAAGCTGCTGCGCCCCAAACCTGACGGATGACACCGCGCGCCCTCCCTGAACTCCGAAGACCGCTCATCGCATCCGCGGCGCATGATGCCCACGGCGCATGACTTGGGGTCGGCGCAGGCGCTTCCCGCGGCGCGGATCTGAAGGATCGCTCGCACCTGGGGCTCTCGGCGCATGCGGCGCTGAGCCCGGGGTGAATGGCTCCAACTCAGGCCTATAGGCGTTGGCCACCCAAAACCCCCTGAAATGCATCTCAATCGCCTGCAAACGCCCGAACTCGACCCCGTGTGAAACTAAACCGAAACCGCTGAGCCTTCTTTGAGCCCCGCCCCTTGTGCGACATGCACAAGACCCACTCGGAACTCCAGGGCGCGATGTAGGAGGCGGAGTTGGTGACGTCCGCCGCGCACTGGACGATGTCGTAGTCGCGGTTGCGCTGCTGGTCCTTGTGCCTCTGATTGCTCCGGGTTGGGAGCTGTTTCACTGGACGCTAAGCAGCGAAGAGAATAGCCAGGAAGACGGCGGACGATGATGTGCGTCTCTCAACTCCCTACACCTCGAACCTTGAAGCCAGCCACGCTTCAGGCACTTTAGTCCGAGGCGCCCCTTGACCTTCAAGGCCTTGTCCACGGCTGGCGAAGCCCCGGCAGGCACGAACTCCTTCCACCTTCTGCTGAGATGTGTCGACATTGGGGTCTCGAAGGCTGGAAGGTCTAGGTCTAGCACCGAGATCTGACAGAAAAGTTCTCTGACTTATTTTGGGCCGAGATGCGGAGGAGAGATGGTCTCCGTCCGCGTGAGGATCTGGAGGGCGTTCTTGCCTGAAAGCGAGGCACTTCATGCGCTTGGACAGTGAAGGCGCATGCTGTTGGCCTCTCTGCATCTCGAGTTCCGGATGACAACTCAAACCCCGCAACTGAGAATCGTCCCTTAGGGATGCCTTGCCTGGACCTTACCAAAGATTTCGGTTCTTGAGCCTTTCACAGCCATCACCATTCCCTGCAACCGAGGCCCAGCGCAACATTGTAACATCCCTGAGCCCCGAGGCCCTAAGGGACTGTTGAGCCCGAGGTGCCGAAGTCGCAGTCCGCTCGCGCTGCAGCGCCCACGGTGGCGATCTCGCCGAAGTTGGCCATCAGGGCGGTGAAGTCACCTCCGGGGACACTTGAGCGTTCTGATGCACTCTTGGTATGGGGATTCAGGGATCTCCGCGTCAAGAGCGTCCATTGGGGAAGCAGATTCAGCAGCAAAGGGTGGGCCCCAGCGCAGCAAAGGCTCCGAGCCTGCGCAGAGCGCTCCATTGTTGACGGCCTGGCCGCAGGCGTTCGCCGCGAAGGACCTGATCCCACATCCCCTGCGCCCTTTGAGGAGAACCTAACAGCTGCCCGGTGCTTACGGATGGATGCTTCCGTCGGAGCTCAGCATATTGGGCTTTGCTTCTTTGAGGACCGGCAAACTGGATCCAGGAAAACCACTTATGCTTGGCCTGTTTTCGAAGAAGCATCTCAAGAATGGCAAGGTGTTCCCAAATCCCACTCTCCTGATTCCCAACGTCTGTATTCACTGCGGAGAAGGCACAGGTAGGA